ATAGGGCCACGAAAAGTGTGAGGGGTGTGCCGAAACTGGTGGTGGGGACGCATGCGGACACCGGTACTGGGGCCTCCCGTGGGGTTCCCTATGGGGCCACAAAACGTGTGAGGGGTGTGCCGACATGGGTGGCGGGGACGCATGCGAACACCGCCACTGGGGCCTTCGGTGGAGCTCCCTATGGGGCCACGAAGCGTGTGAGGGGCGTGCCGAAATGGGAGATGGTGATGAGAGGAGGAGGGAGGGGGCAGCGGGAGGAGGAGAGAGTGACGCGGGGCGCTGTCGCTTCAAAACGGGGACTCAACACCACAGGATGGTTGGGAACTGATTGTGGAGGCCACTGCATATCCCCCACAGTTAGACACACAAAGAATATGTGTGTGAAGGCTGCTACACAAGGATACATAATTGTGGGGATCTGCACCATCAAAAACACCGTCACCTTTTCTGTGGAAACAAAGGTTCTGTCGTGCTGTGCTTATTATTGCCCTCTCTAGTTTTCCTGGGCGCAGGGTGCCGCCACGGCAGATCCCCCGCGCTTAACGTCTTTTCTGCAAGATCGCCACACAAGGAATTACACCGGACTCACTTCTATAGCGCTCACTTCTATAGTGCTCACTTTGAAATTGTGGTCCGGAAGGGGCCGCACATGCAGGCACATGCCGCACAGTCGCATGCACGTGCCCATGCAAATATACAAAAGCCTCAACGGCATTGCCGCACATGCGCGCACATGCCACACCGTCCGACGCACAGTCGAACGCACGGTCAAGCAAAACTCTGAAAGCATAGACGCACATGTCCGCACATGCCGCAGAGATGTCGCAGGCGATAGTGGCCTGACCACCTGAGCTCGGGGCATTTCGCAACCCAGAGTTCCGAGGATGTCTCAGGCAAGCGTGGCCGGATCACCATGGGGCAGGGCATCTTGGAAACCAGAGTGGCGAGGATGGTGCTGGTCAAGGTGACCAGACGACCATGGGGCAGGACACCTCCGAGGTCTGAATTGTGAGGATGTCTCAAGCGAAAGTGGCCTGACCACCATGGGGCAAGAGATCTCTGAGGTCAAAGTTGCGAGGATGTCTCTGGGGAGAGTGGTCTGACCACCTCAGCCCAGGGCATCTCGGAGCCCAGAGTTGCGAGGATGTCTCAGGCAGGACTGGCCTGACCACCTGCTCAGGGCATCTCAGAACCCAGAGTTGCGAGGGTCTCAGGCGAAAAAGGCCGAGACACTATGGAGCAGGGCATCATTGAGGTCAGAGTTGCGAGGATGTCTCAGGCAAAAGTGGCCTGAACAGCTCAACTCAGGGCATCTCGGGCGAGGATGTCTAAAGCGAAAGTGGTCTAACCACCTCAGCTCAGGGCGTCTCGGAACCCAGAGTTCCGAGGATGTCTCAGGCGAAAGGGGCCGAGACACTATCGAGCAGGGCATCATTGAGATCAGGGTTGCGAGGATGTCTCAGGCGACAGTGGCTGACCACCTCAGCTCGGGGCATATCGGAATCGAGACTTGCGAGGATGTCTCAGGCGACCGTGGCCTGACCAGCATGGGGCAGGAGATCTCTGAGGTCAGAGTTGCGAGGATGTCTCAGGCGAAAGTGGTCTAACCACCTCAGCTCAGGGCGTCTCGAAACCCAGAGTCCCGAGGATGTCTCAAGCGAAAGTGGCCGGGCCACCATGGGGCAGGGCATCTCCGAGACCAGAGTTGCGAGGATGTCTCAGGCGAAGGTGGCCAGATCACTTCATGTCAAAGCACGTCGGCCTCCAAATTGCCGACGACGTCTCACGCGGAACTGGCCGGACGCGAACGCGCCGGCGTCCGGAGACGAACGCCGGCCCCGGCATTCTTGCACGTCCCGCACATGCACTGCACAGGTACGCACAGTATTCGCACAGGCCGAGCTCGCCGGTGGCCGAGCCAGGCCAGCGATTCCGAGATTCCCTGAGCTCGGGCCGTCAAGCCACTTTCGCCTGAGACATCCTCGCAACTCTCACCTCCTCCTCCTCCTCCTCCTCCTCCTCCTCCTCCTCCTCCTTCTCCTCTGGCCGAGCCGAACAGGCAGGCGGGCCGGCCGAGCCGGGGGCGCCCGCCTCCTCCGCCCCCCCCTCCTCCCCCCCCTTCCACCTCCCCCCCCCCATCCCTGTTTCTCCGGCCGAGCTGAGAAGGCGCGCGGGAGAGTATTTTATTAGGCGGGCGCGCCACCGCCAGCTCACGAACCGGGCGAAGAACCGCCCCCGCCAGCAGCGGGCGAGTCTAAACGCACAACAAACTCTTTCAGGAAGCCCTGGCACGCCCCAGGTTAGCTCTGCGAAGGCCAGGAGGCATTGGAGGCACAGGGGTCCCAGACAGCTCCTAGGGCATGAGCGTGCATGTGCATTGGGATGTGCACGCATGTGCGCCCGCGCGCTTCACCGCATGTGCGTGCATGTGCGGGCCCGCGCGGCCTCCCGAAGAGAGGTTGCACAGGCATGTGCGTGCATGTGCCGATGACAGATCTGCGATTCTCGAACACCTCCCGCATGTGCAGGCATGTGCGCGCATGTGCGTCGGACTGTGCGTGCATGTGCGTATGATGGATACATCAAAACACATCGCACATGCCCCCGCACATGCCCGGGCACGACGTGCACAGTAGGAAGTCCATCCAAGAAGGACCGCACAGGCCTGGCACATGACTGGCACATGCCGCGCACATGCGCGCACATGACAGCGCAAAAACGGCCGCACATACACCCACCCAGGGGTATAGATGTGAGTGCGGTGTATGTTGTAAAGGCTTCCACCAACGGATTCTACTTGTGGAGGCCACTGCAGATCCCCCACACTTGAAATCGCTTTGTAAGGTCGCCACAGAAAGACTTCAAACTGTGGGGGATCTGCACCATGAAAATAGCGACAGTGACAGGTCTTCCTAGCTTGTTCTTGTAGTCCATCTGAGAAACACCGGCTGGTTCCTGTTGTTTCGTTTTTCGTCTCTAGATCTAGCTCTCCTGGATTCAAGGTGCCGCCACTGCAGATCCCCAACGCTTTGCCACAAAAGGAATCCTTTCGTAAAGGCTGCCGCAACGGGACTCGAAGTGTGGAAGCCACTGCAGATCTCCCACACTTGAGATCCTTTTGCAAGTTCGCCACAGCAGTATCCTTGTGTAACGGCTGCCACGCAGGGATTTCAAGTGTGGCGATCTGCACCATCAGGAATTTTGATTCAGTGTGTGTGTGTGTGTGTCTTCAAACTGTAGAGGGAAAAACACCTGTAATCGCACCAACGGCGGGTCCTACAGGCCCCCTCTCCGGGGGGACGAAAGGGTAGAATAGGAAAGAGCGGGGTCGATAATCAGGTCACGTAGCTGGTTTTCATCGCGCTTCCTGGCGCCGAGAGGCGCCCCGAGGAATGGGCCCGACTCCAGGGCGGAAACCAGCTGCATGCAGCAGATTTCGTACCCCGCCTTTCCAGATCCTGACCTTGCGTCGGGCCCGACAAGACATCCGCGCAAACACCCGAAAGCCGATGCCCATGACTGAAACTCTTCCTCGAGGGCAGGCTGCGGCCAGCTCCTGCACGGCTACAGCCATATCCATCGCCTGTGGCATCGACGTCCTGGACCCCAGGAGGCGCCCAGGAGGTCCCCAGGAGGCCCCCAAGAGGCCCCCAAGAGGCCTCCAAGAGGCCTCCAAGAGGCCCAAAAGGTGCCCCAAGAGGCCCCACAACGGGCCCCAAGAGGCCTCCAAACTCCCTCCAACAGGCCCCCGAGAGGCCTCCTACGAGATCCCAGCGAACATCCAATAGGCGTCATACCCACAACCCAGGCACGCTGGAGGGATGGGCCGAAGGCTATATGTTTGGGCCCCCAGAGCCCGAATATATTTAGATCCACCGCCTGCCGACGTCCCCGAACGTCGACCCCCCAGGCGGTGGTACTGGACAAGTTCCCGCCGATTGAAGACCGAAACGAACATAAGCATGATGTCTCGTAGGTCCGCGCGGATGTCTTGGATCGGCGTTGGGGCACGCCTGGCGCCGCCTCCGGCGGCGCCCCTGGCGCGGGTCCAGCGCCGATCCAAGAAATCCGCGCGGACCTTCGAGAAATCATGCCGATGCCAGTTTTTGTGACTCTACCCTCAGAACCTCCCCCACCCACACCGGCGCTGGCCGCTCCGGGGTCGGAGCAGATGGGGCCAGAGAATCGCGCCGCATCGCAGGTGCATCCCCGATGCATCGGCAGCGTTGGCGATGCATCGGCGAAGTCGGCGTGGAAGATATCGGGCTCCACATCGAGCCGCATCGCCGATGCATCAGCGATGCGGCGCGATCCTCCGACCCCATTTACTCGGACCCCATGAGGAAGGCCTGGATCATGGGAGTCTCTGTGGACCTCTGTGGCCCTCTCATCCGCGTGAGATCAACAGGACTTCGCCCAGACTTCGACCACCCCTCTTCATACTCTCGTCCAAATTTGATCTACTCCGACCCCATCTGGGGAGGCCTAGACGTTCGCACGGACGCCCTAAGTGGACACGGAAAAAATGCGCCGATGCCCAACAACAAATGCTGCCCTGAACCGACAGCGGCCGCTGCTGGGCAGGCGGCCCCCTGTCTCGACTGGACAGCGCCCGCGGCGACACGCCGACGGCGAGTCCTCCCCAGAATGGAGCGCAACTGCTGTCGGCCTCTGCACCCCTCCTCTCCGTGTGCGCACCCGTCCCGATCGTCCCGATAGGACACACCGCCTCCGGCCGCGCCGCCCCCCAGCCCCGCGCGGAACGAGGTTTAACGGGCGAAGAACGGTGTAAAATAAACTTTTTCGCCGTCGGGGACACCTGCCCCAGGGCGGCTGGAAACTTTCTACCCCTACGGTGGCACCGTAAGGGTACAAAGTTTCCAGCCGCCCAGGGGCAGGCGTCCCCGACGGCGAAAAAGTTTATTCTATACCGTTCTTCGCTCGCTGAACACCGCCTCCGGCCGCGCCGCCCCCCAGCCCCGCGCGAGCGAGGTGGGCGCCTCTGCGCCCGCGCGCCGAACGCCCTCTGCCTCTCCGGGCTGCCCACCAGCGCCTGCGCGGAGGGGGGGGGGGCGTGACCTGCCAGAGAGCTACTTCTTAGCACGGGAGGCCTGAAAACCTAAAAAACGAAACGAGGCAGCCTGAAACCAAGACCTCGAATAGCTCTGGGATAGGTTTGTAAGTCGCGTGCTATTCTTTAGCCCTCCTGGAAGGTCAGGGGAGGTGCTCCCTGCGGGCGCCGGGCGCCCTGGGCCTGGGTAATCGAAGCCAATCTGGCGCCAATCTGGCAGGCCCAATCTGGCAAACGGGGGCAATCTGGCGAGGGAGCCAACGCGAATCCAGTCTGGCGAATAACCCAAATCATCCAGTTTGGCCAGGCCAGATTGGCCCTTGGGGCCCAATCCAGTCTGACACTCTGGCCTTCGGCTACCCAGCCTGGGCCTCTCCCGCCGCGGGACGGCCACCCCTCGCGGGCGAAGATCGGAGGCGCACTCCGCGGCCTCGCGGGCCGGGCCCCCCCGGGCCGCGACCCGGCGGACACGGAGCGCCCCGCGCAGGACGTCTCCGCGCGACAGCGTATCCGCGGGATCCCGCCCCAGAACCCAGACCGCGCCCTAGTTTTCCGTGGAGTAGGAGGAGGAGGAGGAGGAGGAGGAGGAGGAGGAGGAGTGGGAGGAGGAGGAGGAGGCTGGGAGGAGGATGAGGGGAGGAGGCGTAGGAGGAGGACGGGGTAGGGCGGAGGTAGGAAGAGCAAAAGTCGGAGGAGGAGAGTGGAGGAGGAGGAGGTTGGAGGGCGCGGGAATCCGAGACGTGGTCGACGCTCGTGAACCCGGGGAACGTACTCGGCCGCCGCCCCCTCAGCCTCTTACCAGCCTGGAACATATCCCTATCCCTATTCTGGGCACCTTCTCCTCCTCCGTCCACCTCCCCCTCCTCCTCCACCTCCTCCTCCTCCTCCACCTCCTCCTGCTCCTCCTCCTCCTCCTCCTCCACCTCCTCCTCTCTTCCCCTCCTCCTACCTCCTCCACCGCCACTCCTCCTCCCTCCACCTCCTCCTGCTCCTCCTCCTCCTCCTCCTCCTCCTCCTCCTCCTCCACCTCATCCTGCTCCTCATCACGACGCCAATCGTAGGGATTCCCTCACTTTTCGAGGGCGGATCCCTAAGATTGCCATCGCCTTTTGGCGTGCCAATCTCAGGGATAGGGATACGCGCGAGGCTGGGAAGCCGCAGCCGTGGGTGCCGGCAGCCTCGCAGCCTCGGGGCTGCTCTGCTGGTGCCTCGGGAGGATGCCCCATCCCCCGACGGCCCTGCTTTAAGTCGGGCGTGTCCCCCTACAGGAGGGTTTTCGACGAAAAAGAAAAATACGCAAAAAAAATGCTCCAAAATTGTCAGGAAATGCTCAAAACGCGCGGGCCCGCCGCATCGTCCACGCCGCGCGCCGCGCGGGCCGCGCTGGCGCTCGCCGCGGGGCCGCCGCTGCTGCCGTCGGCCCCGCTCCGCTGGTGTTCGGCGCTGGCGAGGCGGCGGCGCCGCGGCCCTGCGCCCGGCCCCTGTTCCCCAGCGCGGCCCGCGCGGCGCGCGGCGTGGACGATGCGGCGGGCCCGCGCGTTTTGAGGATTTCCTGACAATTTTGGAGCATTTTTTTTTGCGTATTTTTCTTTTTCGTCGAAAACCCCCCTGTAGAGGGACAGGCCCGACTTGAGCCTTGCTCGAGGAACAGGACAACGACATGGACACACGGTTCCAGAGCTCCGCGCGGCGCTGCTCGATGGGCGCCGGGGCCTCTGGGCGGCGCCTCTGGCGCCGCCCCTGGTGCGCTCGGCGCGACCAGGGAGGGGAGCCCAGCGCCGGTTCGAGAAATCCGCGCAGACCTCCGAAAGGTTTAGTTGACAGTGGGGCTGCTGAGATACGAACCGAAAATCTCAGGAACGAGGCCCCCCTGGGCGCGAAATGAGCCCGGGTGCATGAAGGGGGCCAGGGAGGAACAACCACAGAAATGGCCTGAGGAGCAGCGATCCCCTTCCGAACCCAGACCGGCCCCTACTTCGGCGTCTCGACTAGAGGTACTTTTGTTCCGTCTTCGAACTCAGGGACGGACGTGCCCAGTCTACCCGAGGGGCGGCGTCTCGCTCTCTCTCTCTCTCTCTCTCGGGCGCTCGCAGCAGAGCGTCCCGCGGGGGCCCCCCCAGGGAGCTCGGCCAGGAGGACGGCAGCGGCTGCAAGGCGCGCAGCACCCAAGAAGGGCGAAGTCAGATCCTAGACATGCTCGCATCATGACCGAAAGGCGGGACGGAACATGCTTGGCCGTGTTCGGCCTCTGCGGGCCCCGGCACCGTCAGATCACGACCCATGATGAAAAAGCGGACCCGGGAAGAAGGTCGGGACTTCCGGGGGACCCCGTGCTGACAAAAACAGGACATCGCAGGTCCGGGGCTGAGCCCGCGTGGAGCGGAGCTCATCATCCTCAGAGCCGTCCCCACCCCCACCAGGACAGGGCAAGTGAGGTCTCCCAGCGTGATCCCTGCAGGTGGGGATGGGCGCCGCGAGACCCGCATGAGATGGCACACATGCCCACGGAGGGGGCCGGGCGGCCGGCGAAGCTACTGTGGAGGCCCGACCACAAGAAATCTTCCACAAGAATACCAACCCTGGGACCCCAGGACGTCCATGGACTTTTGGCGTGGGGACCTCTCGCTCTCCACCGCAGAACCATCGAAACCCAAGAAACCCAAGGCACCCTGGAGGCAAGCAGGATGTTTCTTGGCATGGGTCTGCACTGTCAGGTATTCCCTGGTGGTGGTGGGGATGGCTTTGCTCGTCCAAGAGGCAAAGCGCTGGGCGCCCAGGGGCGCAGGGGAGGTGGTGGCGGGTGCAGGTTTAGCAGAGCCCAGCGGAGGCGAGGTCTTTGAGGGGCACTCCGCTGGACACCCGAAAGGGCGCAGGGAAGTGCAAGGAAGAGCCGAGAAGCTGAACCAGGGACGAGAGGAGACGAAAGGAGAGGACGGGAAAGAGAAGATGAGGCGTGAGGAAACAGAAGCAACGACGGGTCTATTCGACGGAGGGTCGGGAACACGCATGGTGACTGTACCGGTGTAGCCCCTGGTTGTCGTTCTGGGTCTTCAGCCATCGTAGACCTCATGTTCGTCGCCCTATACATGGCAGCATACATCAGCATCATCAGCATCAGCACAAGTATTGTCATCATCACCACCACCATCATCATCAGCATCATCATCAGCATCATCATCACCACCACCACAACCACCATAGCATTAATCATCAGCATCATCAGCATCAGCAGCATCATCATCATCGTCATCATCACCATCATCAGTAGCATCAGCATTATCATATCCCGCATCTTCAGCACGCACCATCATCATCATCATCGTCATCATCATCATCATCATCATCATCATCATCATCATCATCATCATCACCATCATCAGAAGCACCTGCATCAGCAGCAGCAGCAGCATCGTCATCCTCATCCTTATCATCATCCGCATCCACCTCATCAGCATCAGCATCACCATCATTATTCTCATCCTCCTCATCCTCATAACCAGACACCCGCGACCCAAGAAAACAAACCTCCGATGGGCCTGTCATACGCTGGGCCGCGAACTACATGCACCAGCCAACAGTGCCGAGGAGCATGCGAGCGCTCGAATCAATCTGCAGTGGCTTGTTCGGCGACTCGTTGACCCTGCATCTCCCGACGCGTCTTCCGAATCTGAGTGCCCCCCCTCCGAAGCAACGACAAGGACGGGAGAGAAAGGACACGGACGGGAGTGGGCCGCGCGTGCCCGCACGCAGTCCGCAGAGAACGTGCCAGGCGGAGACGCTCCCAGTCGGGCGCCTGGACCCGAATAGTTCGGCGACGCCTCCACAAAGCAATCGCACTGCCGCTGTGCGCAGACCGCGCTGCTTACAGTCGGGGCGTTGACCTAAGGAACCCTAAACAAGGAACGAGGCCCCTCTTTTCCATAAGTTGAGCTTCGATTTCCGATCGAAACTATAAATAAGGAAAAACCTGAGGCAAGCTGTGAAACCATTAAGGAGCATTGAGCCCCTCCCCAACGAAAAGGGTTCCTTCTCCAAGACCCCTACTGTATTTCAGGACGGTCGCGGCCCCCCTGCCACCAAACACACACACACACACACACACAGATAAGCTTGAAGGACGACGAACCGCCTAACAACAAAGGGTCGGGAATGTCTGCTCAGCGCGTCGCGGCGTTGGCCCAGGCAACACGCCATGCCCTGCAAAAGGAGAGCGTGCCGCTCCGCTCCGCGGGGCGGGAGGCTGGGCAAGGCTCGGGACGTTGACGCTTGGAAATGGAAGCGTGGATAGCGTGTCGCGCCGAAGCGCGGTGGGCCAGAAGTGGCGGAGCGACATGCTATCCAGAATATGCCGACCTCATTCTTGGTTGATAACAGAGGCTTGGCAAAGTCAGGAATCAATTTTGGCCGGCAGCGCACAGAGGACCGGCCACATAGGATGCAAAAGCTGGGACGCAGGCGGCGCGACTCTTCCCGCATGCAGAGGGAAGGCAGGAATCCAGGGGCCAGGCTCTGGTGGGCCTCGGGGAGTCCCTGGGAGGTCAGGGGGGGGGCCCAGGAGGACCTCCGCAGACTGCTCTGTGCCCATTGGCCCCAGGGCCGATTCTTAGCTAAGCCATGGGTGGGTTGCCCAATCATCTCCCACCCCCCTTCCTTGGGCGCCCGAGTTATCCGGGGTAACTCGGGTCCGGGGGGTAACTCGGGTTCGGAATTCCGACAAAACCAACCCGAGTTAGCCCCGACCCGAGTTACCCCTGATGATTCCGGGCTCTGGACGCCCGAATTATCTGGGGTAACAAAGTCTAACCGCGCTAACTGGCACCTAGCCCACCTGCATCTGGCACCTAGGATTCAACCCTCCTGGGGCTCTCATTCACTTGCTGGGGGGCCTGGGATCTAATGGAATTGAACGCGCGATGGGGGCTAAGATCGCATGGATGGGCTAAGATCACATGGAATCCAATCTGCGGGGGAACGCGCCAGGA